CTCTCTCTCTCTCTCTCTCTCTCTCTCTCTCTCTCTCTCTCTCATGGGGTTAACTCGTCAACTTGGTGTATCACGAAGGAAAAAAAGAAAAATCCATGTATACCACGGCGCACCATGTGCGAAATTGCGCTCGTCACGCGCACGCCCCAGCGCACCGGCGCACTGTGCACCGGAGTGCCGCGCAGTAGTGCGCGCGCATCGCGCACGAGTGTGCGCACGGTACAGGTGCGCACTGCGCACCGCATCGCGCACCGCACTGATGCGCCACAAGTATGGTTTAGACTGAATTAACACAAATATGGCGAAGTGACAATAATCGCGTAAAAGTTTTTTTTTTTAATTCAGTAAATGGTGGCTACGCTGTAGCAATTGCAGGTCATATAGCTTTTCTTCCTAAGAGTCTTTGAAAAAGCCGAAAAGTTTTTCATAGTCAATCGAGAATGTTCTCAATCTTAAAAATGAATCGAAAAATTTTGAATATAGGCAAAGAAATTGGCGAACAATCATGAAAAACAACAACAAAAAAGTACAAAAAAAATACTTGCGAGGATGTGTGTGGGGGTGTGTTGTTGTCAATCGTTAAGCTTGTAACCTATGGTAACCTATGGTTCTTTTTACTTGCTCACTCTCAAGGTCACAAGTGCCTGTAATTGGAGAAGGGGACAGTTCCTGCCCAGGTCAGTCCCACAGAGATGTCAAACTCTCAATTGGGCGGGTGGTACGTGCTGCCTATGACTTGGAGCTTGAATGTGGAGGTACACGCATAGTGATTCGCAATGGGAGACCATGATGAGTATGTTCGAGTCTTTTCTTAAAACCGTTTAATTTTTATAGCTTGTTATTTTTTCCGTTTGCTCCCTGAGCAGGAGAAAGACTGTTCCCCTGGTATAGGAACTTGTGAATGCTGAGTTGTTGCAGACCTTTCTATGCAGAGTTAGTTAGACCAGTTTCTCAATTATGTTTCTGGGTCTACTGTGTAATACTTGGTAGTCTGTATGCAATTCACCTGCCTCTGTTTTCTTTTATCCCTTTTCTTTTTATGGAGCCGTTTGTTCTACTTTGTTTTTCCCTTCCATCCGTCATGCTTTACCTACTTTTGCCCCTGGATTGTGGACGAAACGCTGTCTCATTTTCGTCATTTTATATGCTCGAGTTTGGACTTCAGCAAATGATGAATTTGGATCTTTAGTTGAGAAGTCCAGCTGCATGACTTTTTGGGCAATGTGAACCATTGGAAGATGTTGTTGCGAGTACTAAGGAAGTGATTGTATTGTTTGCCAGTAGGATTGGTTTCTCTGCAAAGCTAGCCACTTGGGCTGTGGAGCGGATTTACGCAGGGGTTTTGCCGTGCTTTCAACTGCTTTCCCTTCCGGCTGCAAGCATGAGAATGATTGCATGCTGTACACTAAGTAAGACCTGCTAACTGAGTGTGTTGTTGAATGTCTTCTGGTGGTGTCATGAAGGATGATGGATCGTCGTAAACGTGTCCAGATTGCACTCGATGCTGCTTTTGGAATGGAGTACCTTCATGCCCGCAAGATCATCCACTTTGACTTGAAGTGCGAAAACCTGCTTGTCAACATGCGTGATCCTCAAAAGCCTGTGTGCAAGGTGGGTCTCCTCTCTCTAGTTTCTGAGGGCAACCGCTTGGTTTGGATTCAACTCTGTGTATATCATCTTCGTTTGTTTGGAATTAGAATACATTATACATGCAGTTATAAACTTCCTTTGAATTGCATTGCTGACATGGTCTGCTCTCTCCGATGTGAGTGCTGGAAAAACAGACATTGCTTTTGTGCTTTATCTTCGGTCCATGGGTGTCTACTTGATTACCCACAGCTGATTGCACGTTACTATGCTTGTTCTAGATGGCTCCACCTATGGCGCAGGCACGTTTGGAGTTGTGCGCTGGTTCCGTGAAGCTGAACAACACGAAGCACAAAACGGGCCGTGAACTGATTTGTCAGAGTTCAAACTTCCGACTTCTCAGTCAAGTTTACGAATAGATAAAAAAATAGAGGGTGATGCAAAAAGCTGCAGTAAACATCCAGCACTACAGAAGTCTTTGGGCAGTAGCGGCTGGCCAAGTCAAAGTTCTGGGTTCAAGAGTGTTGCCAAAGGGTCACATCCAGAAGTCCTCAGGTCGATAGCCTTGAGAGGCCACAGCAACCTGACTGAATTTCAGGGCCTGTTGAAATTTACCCAGGGACCAGGCCAACGGATAGTCGGGACCTACTTACGAAGTACCCAGAGTCAAGATTCTCACACCCAGGGACCAGGCCAACGGATAGTCGGGACCTACTTACGAAGTACCCAGAGTCAA